ATGTTATCGTGACCAGCCTGGGGCCGGACTGGACCACGATAATACCGTGTGTGCTATGGGACCTTTATTCACTGCGAATACCCATCCCCATCCTCCTGCGGATGGGCCCTCAATCGCTAAAGGTTCCGAAACGGCACTGTTTTGGTTTCAACTTTACGGTTTGAGCGTTGCTCCTCCTGCCGTGGTTCCTGGTTCCAAGTCTGCTCCTGATGGACGCTGCCTCCATTGGAAGTATCACAACACTATCACAAACACTCAGAGAGCCGTTGTAATCACACACACAATATCTGTATTCACTCACATAAACACACGGCGAACATGATGTCACACGAAATAACACTCGCGAACCACACACTGCCGACCTGAATATCACAAACACAGTTTGCCTGATAATTCTGAATTTGGCTAGAGAACATTGTCTCGTTAGATATCTGGTAACGCACGTAAATGTGTTCAGATAGATTTCTGTCATGTATGCCTTAAGGATGACAGGTTTAGTATCTGGAACTGAAGATGGAGGTTTATTTTCTGATGGTGTTCTAGGCTTTTGGGGTCATGTCGGAATGTTGTTAGGTGAATGTCTGCGCCTGTTCAGTACCCAACTACTCTTAACAGTAATGTAACTTTGTAACTTAAACAGCAATGTAACTTTGTAACTTAAACATAACACCATCCATTCATCAGTAATCTGTCAAGACGACAGGTCCACAGTCTCTTCCAAAAGAGTTCCTCCACTTGATGCGATCTAGACCTTTCTCTTTCAAATGAAAATATCATATTCTGTTCCCAAGGTCATCCAACAACTTCTTACGTTTTCTTCCTCGTCTTCTGGTAACTTCTATCCTCCCCTCTATCTTTCCTTCAATAACTTCTTTAAAATATTTTTATGTGAAAGTATACCATTCCTATTTCCTATAAATATAATAAATACTTATAGTTACATATCTGGAAACATAAAGGCCTATCGATGGAAAGTTATGACCTAAATGTACGACTATAATTAAATTATTTTACAGCTGATATTAGATGAAAATTTTATTGGCAATTCCGAGGAAAATCACGATAATCTCAGGGCCTTAGAGCGAGGCCGTCTTCACTGGCATATGAAGAAAAGCTCATATTGGCAATTCTGAGGAAAATCACGAGAATCTCAGGGCCTTAGATGCAGTCCGTGTTCACTGGCATATGAAGAAGAGCTCATATTGGAAACTTTCAGGAAAATCACGATAATCTCAGGGCCTTATATGCAGCCCGTGTTTACTGGCATATGAAGAGAAGCTCATATTCGCAGTTCTGAGGAAAATCACGAGAAGCGCAGGGTCTTAGATAGAGGCCGAGTTCACTGGCATATGAAGAAAAGTTGATATTGGCAATTCTGAGGAAAATGACGACAATTCAGGGCCTTAGAGGGAGGCCGGGTTCACTGGCATATGAAGAGAAGCTCATATTGGAAATTCTGAGGAAAATCACGAGAATCTCAGGGCCTTAGAGGGAGGCCTTGTTCACTGGAATATGAAGAGCTCACATTGGCAATTCTGAGGAAAATCACGACAATATCAGGGCCTTACAGGGAGGCTGTGTTCACTGGCATATGAAGAAACGCTCATACTGGTAATTCTGAGGAAAATCACGAGAAGCGTAGGATCTTAGATAGAGGCCGTGTTCACTGGCAGTTGAAGAAAAGCTCATATTGGAAATTCTGAGGAAAATCACGAGAAGCGTAGGATCTTAGATAGAGGCCGTGTTCACTGGCATATGAAGAAACGCTCATACTGGTAATTCTGAGGAAAATCACGAGAAGCGTAGGATCTTAGATAGAGGCCGTGTTCACTGGCATATGAAGAAACGCTCATACTGGTAATTCTGAGGAAAATCACGAGAAGCGTAGGATCTTAGATAGAGGCCGTGTTCACTGGCATATGAAGAAACGCTCATACTGGTAATTCTGAGGAAAATCACGAGAAGCGTAGGATCTTAGATAGAGGCCGTGTTCACTGGCATATGAAGAAACGCTCATACTGGTAATTCTGAGGAAAATCACGAGAAGCGTAGGATCTTAGATAGAGGCCGTGTTCACTGGCATATGAAGAAACGCTCATACTGGTAATTCTGAGGAAAATCACGAGAAGCGTAGGATCTTAGATAGAGGCCGTGTTCACTGGCATATGAAGAAACGCTCATACTGGTAATTCTGAGGAAAATCACGAGAAGCGTAGGATCTTAGATAGAGGCCGTGTTCACTGGCATATGAAGAAACGCTCATACTGGTAATTCTGAGGAAAATCACGAGAAGCGTAGGATCTTAGATAGAGGCCGTGTTCACTGGCATATGAAGAAACGCTCATACTGGTAATTCTGAGGAAAATCACGAGAAGCGTAGGATCTTAGATAGAGGCCGTGTTCACTGGCATATGAAGAAAAGCTCATATTGGCAATTCTGAGGAAAATCACGATAATCTCAGGGCCTTAGATGCAGACCGTGTTAACTGGCATATGAAGAAAAGCTCATATTGGCAATTCTGAGGAAAATCGCGAGAATCTCAGGGCGTTAGAACGAGGCCGTATGCATTGGCATATGAAGAAAAGCTCATATTGGCAATTCTGAGGAAAATCACGAGAATCTTAGGGCCTTAGAGGGAGGCCTTGTTCACTGGAATATAAAGAAGTGTTCATATTGGCAGTGCTGAGGAAAATCACTGTGAATGCCAGTGAACACGGCCATATGAAGAAAAGTTGATATTGGCAATTCTAAGGAAAATCACGAGAATCTCAGGGCCTTAGAGGGAAGCCGTGTTCACTGGCATATGAAGAAACGCTCATACTGGAAATTCTGAGGAAAATCACGATAATCTCAGGGCCTTAGATAGAAGCCGCGTTCACTGACATATGAAGAAAAGCTCATATTGGCAATTCTGAGGAAAATCATGATAATCTCAGGGCCTTAGAGTGAGGCCGTGTTCACTGGCATATGATGAAAAGCCTATATTGGAAACTCTCAGGAAAATCACGATAATCTCAGGGCCTTAGAGGGAAGCCGTGTTCACTGGCATATGAAGAAACGCTCATACTGGAAATTCTGAGGAAAATCACGATAATCTCAGGGCCTTAGATAGAAGCCGCGTTCACTGACATATGAAGAAAAGCTCATATTGGCAATTCTGAGGAAAATCATGATAATCTCAGGGCCTTAGAGTGAGGCCGTGTTCACTGGCATATGATGAAAAGCCTATATTGGAAACTCTCAGGAAAATCACGATAATCTCAGGGCCTTAGAGGGAGGCCGTGTTCACTGGCATATGAAGAAACGCTCATACTGGCAATTCTGAGGAAAATCACGATAATCTCAGGGCCTTATAGGGGGCCGTGTTCAATGGTATATGACCAAAGCTCTTATATTGGCAAGTCTGAGGAAAATCACTAGAATCTCAGGGCCTTAGATGGAGGTCGTGTTCACTGGCATAAGAAGAAAGGTTTTATTGGGAATTCTGAGGAAAATCACGAGAATCTCAGGGCCTTAGAGGGAGACTGTGTTTGCTGGCATATGAAGAAAGTTTATATTGGAATTTCATTCCGAGGAAAATCACGAGAATCTCAGGGCCTAAGATGCAGGCTGTGTTCACTGACATTTGTCCATCTGTCTGTCTGCCTGTCACACCTAATAGTATACCTGTCCCTTCTGTTGATATCATCGTAATATTTTTGTATTGCTAATGCTTCAGTAAGCATGAAACTTCTTTGGTTCTTATGCTCAGCCCCGGGTACCGATTGAAATGAAAAATGCAGTTCAACGCAATTTCATTTAACCAAGTCGCAGACGTTAGAGACTAAAATTTAAGACTGTTACCTAGAAATTAATTTGCAGGTGTTACATAAAATCTGCCGTTTTACATTCTTGCTAAGATCTGTATAAGGCCCATTGTACTCTAAGCTAGTAATAAGATTAATGTGTTTGTATAATTATGGGTAATTATTATTATAAATTATAATGACCGTGTTTCAGAATGTCCAGACAGATTGCAAATGTGCTTTGATGATTCTTCCCGAACCAGCAACGAACTGCATATCACAGTTTATGAAACACTGGCGTAATAAATTGTGATTTTGTATCGGCAGTGAATTAACAGGTGGATTAATTTATCCAGAGCATGTGATGTTTAATTAACCACTGTCAATTTTAAAAGAGAATCCATAAATTTTGTTTCCCTAAGTAAAACACCCACTGGCAGTGGGCACATATGAACGTACAAATCGTGCAGTATAAGATAGTGGTTGCCGGCCATGCATAAGCAGAGAAAAGTATAACTACAAAATTAAAGAAATGTTAGTAATTAGTGAATTAGTCAGATAGTTGGTAATTTGTACGTTCATGTGTGGTACTTGCCATAACATAATTTCTATATCTAACTGTGACGTCATTTGTGACGATCATTGGTATTGCTTTATGAATCTAGTTACAGCCTAACTGCCGACTGAAGGAACAAATTCCATTTCACACCAATTAAACAGTTTTGAATAATTTCAAAAAGCTTTAAGCCTTGACGTAATATTTTTAGTACAATCACATGATTTAGAGAACTAAGAAATGTTAACATGTTTTAAATGTTGCTTGAATCATAATAAGACAAAGGATTCACGCAAAACTATTTTCCTCTGAATATTCTCAAAATTGACAAATTTTTAGTGCAACCGGTATTTAAGATAGGTGTTCTTTACTTGTATCATGTCTGTCCGTCTGTCGGTGACAAAATGTCAAGGCTCTATCCATGAAGTGATCTGACGAATATTTACACTGAGCTGTCTGATTACACCAATTGTTTTGAAACAGCCTGCTTCACCGAGGCTGATGATTTAGTGGAAGACCTGTATGAATTTCACTTCGTTGAAATTTTCGCCACAGTGGTTAAACAATAGGTTTCCTCACGACATTGTATCAACTGCATAAGTTCCTGGGCATCAGGCTGAGTTCAGTCCGGTTCTGCCTACCGGGAATACCAATCGGCAGTAAACGATCATTAGGGGCGTCAGACAGGAGCAGTGAACACTCTTATATTAGCCAGTATGTAGCTGTCTTGTGGAGGGCAGAAACACCTGAATATACGCGCCCTGAGTTATAATTGCTTATGTCCTGGATGTGATAAACAGAGCAGTCGAAACAAAATAATATTCAGGAGAATTTAAATTAACATAGGCAGTGCAATTCAGCAGTGGAAACAGAATGATGAATAAGACAAGTGGGAACCCATCAAAATGTGCTGCAATGTGTTTCAAGTGTAAGACATCAAGTTACACGATATCGATCTGAGTACAGAGAAAATAGTTGTATACAAATTCTTAGTGATAAACCCTGAAGTGAAGATACCATTAAAAAACATAAACATCGATGGGAAGATAATATTAAAATGGATCTCATAGAAGTAGGATGTGAAATTGTGGACTAGATTCATCCAGCTCAGGATAGAGACCAGTGGCAGGCTCTTGTGAACACAGCAATGAACTTGGAGTTGCATAGAATGGTGAGAATTTCGAGAGTAGCTGAGCAACTACTGGATTCTCAATAAGGGCTCATATCCGTGGAGTTGTCTAATTAGTTAGCTAGACATTATTAGCAATAACATAACACAACGGTAGAATTGTAGGTGAAATGGTCAAGAATATTTTTAGGACAGAGACCACTAAGAAAACCTAGAAGTAGATGGAAAGATAATATTAGAATTGTTCCAAAAAATAGGATGTGAGAATGTGAACTGGATTAGTCTGGCTCAGGTTAGGGACCGGTTGCGGGCTCTTCTGAACACAGCAATGAACCTTTCGGATTCCATAAAATGGTGGAAATTTCTTGAGTGGCTGAGCAACTACTGGCTTTTCAAGAAGGGCTCAGCTCCATGGAATCAGTTTTGCAGTTAGTTGTGAGATACAGTTAGCAACGACAAAGACAACATCAGTACTGCGGGTTAGACAGTGAGGATGTCGCTGAGAGCAGGCCCACTGATAAGACTCAACTCGCGTCCGAAATATGAGCCTGAAGGAACAGGGCTCTTATGCAGAACTGCAACATTCTCTCTTGCAGTGCCCGTAACAGGCCACCTTCTGGGCAAAGCAGTGATGATACAGTGAGAGATGTTTTTGATGACTTCAGTGGATGGGCAAGGATTACACATAATCTCATTAAGAAGGGTGCTGAATGTAGTACCTCAGTGTCAGATTATTTACATAATAATTATAATAAACTAACCTTTCTAAGAATTCGCAAACTCTTTCGAGTTTCATTTGTTACATATAAATAATTACAATTAAAGAGTAATTATAAATAACCTCATTAAAGGGATACTGACAGTAGCAACTTCTCTTATCAGGTTGTTCATATAACAGTTATAGAATAAAACTAACCTTTCTAAGGTTTCTGCTGTTCTTTCGAACTCCACTTATGTTACTAAAAATAATAACTGTAATTAAAGAATAATTATAAATAATCTCATTAAGAGGAGCACTGAAAGTAGTACTTGGGCGTCAGATTGTTTATATAATAGTTATATAATAAAACTAACCGTTCTAAGATTTGTAAAGCTGTTTTGAGCTCCATTGATGTTACTTACAAATATTAATTATAATTAAAGTAGGAATAATCTCATTAAGACTCACAGGCCTACTAAATATGATGAAATGTCGAAATGTTGTATGCGAAAAATACGTAGCTGCATCACAGTACTAACAGTTTAAGCTTTACTGTCACTTCATAACACAAAATTTGATTCCGTAACTGGTATTTTCATAATAATTTACTGCTCCTTTAAACTAATTTAAACTGTATTGCTTGGCCTTGGAACACTTACGTCGTTAACGTTAAAATGGCGGCAATACAAGTGTATGGACTTCAATGACAAAATGTGATATAAAAATGGCTACATCCGGTTTGCGAAAAAGGCACTAGTTTAATTAAATATTTCGTAAATATTATAATATAGTATTTCTATCCAGAAGGAAAGCAAACTTTTATCTCAAATTCTGACTTTAAAATCTAGAAAATAAATTTCTATGAATTTTACAAAGTATCGTAATTATTAATTTATAATATTAAGCTTGTAATTTATATTTATTCTAGAAAGCTCCTAATGGCGCCTAAAGCCCCGGAAATCCAATATGGTTACAAGCAAATGCAGTGAACACTCCATCTTGGTACAAGTATGTGAACAGGTAAATTACAAATTATACAGTTCCTAGAAAGCAGCGGATTTGTTAGGACGGACTCTAAAATTTTACAAACTAATGCTTTTGAACTTCTAAATAAATTGCTCCTTTTAGAATACCGCAGATATTTAAGTTTTTGTCTCTTCAAAGAACCGCCAAGATTACCGCCAAGTTTGCAAGTTCTTCCCGCTAATTAACTTATGCAAATAGTAATTATACATTTAGTAGTCATGATATATGCGATTTAAATCGAAATTATAATGCAAAAATATATGAAACTCTTGCAAAATGTGTAATTCTCACTTCCCTGCTATTACAAACAGCCTACTTCGTGAAGTACGCACTTGCTGTTCACCAACTAATGCAAAGTGTTTTCTGAATGATATTATAACGCATTTAGCTCGACACAATTAACACAAAGCCACAAATACTTGCAAATCATGTAATTAACACAACTCACGGGAATTTACGCTGACCTAGCTGCACAAGATATGCACACGAAGCTGCAGAATTGGAGCACACGCTAATCACTTCTTACCTCCCTCACACGCAATAGCTCTCTGACCTGTGCGAAGGACACGTCATAATAAGGGAGGGTGGTTCAAGATGTCACTCCTATCGATAGTACCTACACAGAGTAAATGTTCGTGTTAAATATTTCACAAATTACATTCCGAGATCGAATAAAATAATATTACGCATAAAGTCTCCTCTAAATTTTTGGCGAAGCCTCGTTTGTTTCGGATTTTAAAATTAAATAAATATAGAATGATAGCACCGTCCAATCACAGCTCGGTTACACAGTCTAGTTTCTCGCGCCCAGTGAAGAGCACAGGTGTTTGGAAACAAAATTGCGAGGGAATTTTCGACGCGGGAGAGATAAATGAATAAGTTAATGATACAGTATATGTATAATTTGGCGCTTCTTTCATTAAGTTCTAGAGCTGAATGTTAAACATGAAAATAACGATAAATTTACTTCCGCGTCCTAAGTTGTTAGCTCTGGACGTGTATAGTGGCGTGGAGGTCATTCTCGAAGTGTATGAAGGAGAGTGACAAACCCCTGTAAGAAAAGATCTTAACAATATTCATTTTGTGTCCCCCTCATCCGACAAGCTCATGGACGTGAATTCAAAGAGAAAATGCTTGTTCTGCTGGTGATCGAACCCCGGGTTTCTAGTTCCATGGCCTGTTATGTTACTGTCAGTGCTATACCAGCTCATCAGAGCTCACGTTGTTAGAAAGACGCAATTAAACAGTTAGCACGTAGCACTCATGAAAAGTAAATGAATGTATACAAAATTTTGGGTCAAATTCGTCATGGGAGAAAGGACAATAGGGAGACTCTGAAGATAATATTAAAATAGAGAGCTGAAGAGTTATTGCTTTCCTCATTGATTCATTCATATTCATGTTGTCCTCTCTGAAGCATAAGGCATTCGTGAAAGGCGTCCGTTCACTTCAGTTTCTCAATATTTATACAGCCGGCAGGACTCCTTGGACGGGGGATCAGCCTGTCAAAAGGCCGCTACCTGCACAGGACGACACAAACACAGAATAAACGTAGACAAATATCCATGCCTCGAGTGGGAATTGAACCCACGACCCCAGTGTTTGAGCAGGCGAAGACACGTCATGCCTTAAACCGAGCGGTCACTGTGATCGGCATTGATTTCTTGAGTCTTTGATAAATCATAAACGCCTAGTTAAACTGTTCTTAATCACGCATTTATTCGAAAATGATAACAACTGGCAAACATAAAACGATAACTTCACTAGCTGTTCTGTATGGCTTTAAAACACGGCTTCTGCTTCATGGGTGGAAAATTAATTACAAGTGTTTGAAAGTAACTTATTCAGGAAAATATGTGGATCTAAGACACTTAAAGCACGAGGAAAATGAAGGATATTACGGGTTGTCTTGCTTTATATGTTATGATGGACTGGGCATATAGCTTGGTTGGAAGAAATTAGAGATACAGGGTTTTGTAGGAAAACGTAATGGAAAGTAAGATGTTGGAAGATCTAGAGGAGGATGGGAGAAATATTAATCTGGTTCTCAGAGGCATGATGGTTAAAACGTTGCGCCCTGCTACCAGAATTATTTAAACTCTTTCTATATTTCCCTTCAGGTACTTGTCACAGTGTTAAATGAGCCACTAATGTAAGCGGCATATGAAGTCTGCGCTCTGATGTGGTGTCCAGCTGCCACCTCCCGATAATATGCGATAATCAGCACACACCCCTCGCTCCTTGCTGGGAACTTGAGGCCAAGAAGTACTTTATCTCATGACTCATGCCAACGTTATTTAATGACGCTTTTCTAACTGAGTACGTTGTCTAGGTCAGGTTGTCACCGGGATTGTGAACGGTTAATTGGAAACACGTGGAAGTGGTTGTGGCCCATTTTAAGTTATTGCTCCTAATTCTGTCTGAAGGAACTTAGGAAAATGGCGACACAAATCTTATCACTACCTTCTTGCGTAAGTTCAAACTAGAGATTTCTGTCCATTCTCTAGCCAACAGACTGAACTTTCCGTAATAACTGGCGGGGATACCGGTGTTCAAGCCCCGCTGTGGACAGAGGGTTTCTCTGTTCACTGTGCCTGATGCTTAGTACATGATTGTTCAGAGATACATGTACTTACTTACTTACTTACTTACTCATGGAGCTGAGCCCTTCTGGAGGAGCCGCCAATTGTGCAGCTACTCAAGAATTGCCCAGCATTTTATGGAACCCGAAGGTTCATTACCGTGTTCACAAGAGCCCTCCACTTGTCCCTATCCTGAGCCAGATCAATCCAATCCATACCATCCCATCCTATCTCTCTAAGATCAGTTTTAATATTGTCCAACCACTTACGCATTGGTCTTCCCAGTGGTCTCTTTCCTTCTGCCTTTCCCACCAATACGCATTCCTTGTCTCCCCCATTCGTGCTACATGCCCTGTCCACCTCATCCTCCTTGACTTGATCATTCTAATTACACTTGGAGAAGAGTACAAGTTATGAAGCTCCTCATTGTACAGTTTTCTCCAACCTCCTGTCACTTCACCTCTCATCGGTCCAAATATTCTCCTCAACACCCTCAGTCTAACTTCCTCCCTTAATGTTAGGTGGGTCCCTGTTACCACGGCATGGCGCGTTCTCAGGTTGCGGATGGAGGAGACGCCCTCCAGTTTTGGAGGGAAGCTGCGAATATATTGAATAAGCAGTCGCGGACAGCCGACAAGGGGTGGTCCTCCAGCTTGGGGGTTGGGCGTGGGGCTAACAACTCCTCACCGTAAAAATATTCATGTTACGAAAATGAACACAAGTCTCGGACCTGGACGGATCCCCTGGATAAACGACCTCGGTTAAAGAAAATGGAAATGAGATTCGGTACCTGGAACGTCAGAAGTTTGTATAGGGCAGCGCCATAGATCAAGCGGTTAGTCGCTGGCTTCCCACCGCTGCGGCCCGGGTTCGATCCCTGGTCTGGTCAAGTGGGATTTGTGATGGACAAAGTGGCGCTGGGGCAGGTTTTCTCACAGTATTTCGGTTTCCCCTGCCAATCTTCATTCCACCAATTCCTCCACAATCACCCTCACCTATCATCTGGGGCTGGTACAATAGGCCAGAAGTGGCCGCAGTACAAGGGACTTAGTCCCACCCCACTAGCAATAAAAAAAATGTATAGGGCAGGTTCGCTCAGGGCAGTGGCAGAAGAATATATATAATAGCTTCATGTTCTTATAATTAATACGAGACTTTATTAGGTAAATTTTCTTTTATTAGTGACGGTATAGATGATGAAGTGACGACTCGAGAAAGGCGGCTCAGTCAGTAGCGCTTCTGATTTTTATTTGGGAGGTGCTCATTTCGAATTGGCGCCGGAACATTGCCTGTCCTAAATGAATTTTTCTTGGATTTCCTCAGTCCCTCCATGCAAATGCCGGTTTGGCAAATGTAATATTTTTCAGATCACGAACCGGATCATTCAGTCATTTGACGCTAAAATTTCGGAGTTACTCGTGGCTTCATTTAATAAAAAAATAAAATAAAACTAAACTAGCAACGATAGGAGGGACACACATATAGACACACAGACTGATGGGAGGGATTTATGAAGTACGCCGTTGAAATGAGGTCAGGTGCCACGATACATACCATGTTTCATAAAGACTGGTTCAGTCATTCAGTAGTTGATGGGAGTAAACACAGATGGCATGGAGATCGCATATGCCTACTTTCATTCCCCCCCAGTATGAAAGTAGGCTAAAAAGCAACGGTGTCGAGGATGGTCTAACGAACCAGCCGCCACTGGACACTGACATAGGAACAGATCAAGTGACAGCGAAGTCAGCAGAGCAAGCGAATGACGAGCCCAGCTGCAAGTGTACAACTCTCCCTCAACCCTCTCATCGCTCTCACCTTAGCCAGCAGTGCAGAAGCCTGGTGTGAGCTTATCAGTAGTCTATACTTATTTTTAAGCTCAAATAACATGCAGCAACACCGTGAGAACGTCAAATCCTACAAGTCAGAATAGTCTCAGAGAGTCAGAACGTGAAAAACAGGTTAAGGAAATCTCCAGATCATGAAACAATTCATGTCACGTTTAATTACCAACGTGTTTAACTGTGTTTGATGGAGTGGCCTAAACAAATGAAGTTGAAGTAGCTTACGATAATTCTCTCTTGTTTCGTTACTTTCCTCGCCATTCATTCTCCATCTTCTTAACATTTCACATTCGATGCCATTAATATATAGGATTCAGTTCATATCATGTATGCAGTAGGTATCTGCTTCGAGTCCCCGGCAGACTTAGTCCATCCTCCTTGATGGGTCACGTGCTTGTTATCATGTAACAGGAATAAAATTTCAACCCTCTCCTACAAATTAAATGTACCTTGACCAGTTGGCACTACCAGTTTCACAAAGGGTTTAGCCATTCAATTTTTGCTGGTTGTCCAGGGGTATTTTAAAATAATAAAATGTAAGGTCATCCCTGTAATAGGCCGTGGAGGCCTATAGTGTTGTGAGGGGTCGAGGATCCCACATCTTCTAGACAATCGGCTCACAGATGACGATAAGGTTGTCAGCTTTAAGCGCTGGCCGCCTTTTACCCCCCAGGAAGATTCCTGGTACTCATTTCTGTCAGAGGCTGAGTCGACCCCAGGGCCATAGTGTGGCTGGAAGGATTAGGTCAACTGAAAAAAATCTACCTCATCGGGACTAGAACCCGCGACCTTCCGGCTTGTAGCATAGTGTCTCAACCAACTACCCTACCACGTACCCCATTTACACTAATAGATTTTCAAATACTTTAATTCTTGAAGAAAGCAGTCTTCTGGGATGTGGCACCGTGTAGATGTGGTGTTAACCGACGTTTCGGAGGAA